TCCTCCCTTGATACCTCCATTGCACGCCGTGAACAGTGTATCCCCACAAGTTGATGAGGTTGCCACCGAACTCTTTTCGCAAAGTAGACCTGCTCGCCATGGCAGGTTGGAGCCCGCCACCAGTCATCCAACCTGCCCAGGTCCTAACTGTTGCTTCTGCTGCACGCTCTGCAGCGGCGTCGCTCTCAGGTGCCTGGGAACCTTTCGCCGTGCGCCTCGCCGACCAATCGTGGGAATAGACAGCGTTACAAGCTGCACCTCGCTGGCAGGCTGGTGCATGGTCGCCGCCGTTGTGGCCATCACAGACAGCGATCGTATAGTACTACTGCTCACTAATTCGCAACGGAACTCAGACCCTCAGCGGTGGGTGGACGACCACCGCTAGGATGCACATCCACAGCAGCGCAAGGGCGCGTTCGGCTGCGCCGGCGCGCCTGACTCCTGTCCGCGATATCTCTCCTGTCCCGCCCTTTCGAGGCTCTTCCGGCTCCCTCATCCCCCCCCCATCCAGCCGACGCTGACGGCTTGGGGGCTCGGCCCCGCCGCAGCACGCGCAGCTGACGCCGCCAGTCCAATGTCCCTGCCAGCGATGGTTTCGAGGATCGTCTTAGCCTTTCACGTTTACAATCAAATGAAGTCCACTGCCAGCGCCCGCGCTGCATCTGTCTCGAAAGCAGATCTAGTCGCATCGCGCCGTGCAGCACACGCTTTACTATACAGGTAGAGGAGCTACGCCCGAACACGCACTGGCTGAGACTAACTCATTTGCCCTTTTCTCGTTCGTGGTCGTGTCCGCCTGCCCTCTTCCTTTCTCCAGGGTGCCCATACTCCTCCTCGTCCTTCTCCTTCTCCTCACTCCCCCCCCTTCTCCTCCTCCTCCTCGTCCTCCTTCTCCTCCTCCTCCTCCTCCTCCTCCTCCTCCTCCTTCTCCTCCTCCTCCCTCTCCTACCGATGGTGGTGGTGGTGTTGGAGAGTCGGCGCATCACACGGGATCGCCTCCTGCCATCGGCGCAGCCCCTGCCGGTGGCAGGTCGCAGGGCGTCGGGGCCGGTCTGGGCCTGCGCGCCGGTGTCGCCGCCGCGCCGCCGCCGCGCTGTGCTTCGAGGTCCAGTGCAGCGTTTTCTTTGTGTCGGGCCGAACGAAAGCGGGGATAGGGAAACGGGGGTTACGAAATCTGCTGCATGCAGCTGGTTTCGGCCCCGCCGCCGGGCCCATTCCTCGATGCATGGACGCCTCCCGGCGCCGGGAGGCGCTGGGAAAATCAGCGACGTGAGCTGATTCTCTACCTTACCCTTTGCTATCCCCCTTTCGCTCCCCCCGATTATGGTTGCTCATCTTTTTCTCGAAGGGCACCGTGTCTCGCAATACCTCTTCGGACCGCAGCGAAACGCACCTGCCAGGGCCAGGCGAAGTCATACACGGCGCGCGGTCATTGTTTGAGAGCTCGTCGGTTTTTTCCCTCCTCCCATGTCTCCCCCTCGCCCGTGCATGCTCTCCTTCGCCCCCGTTTCTTTATCAATGTGTGTTTGCGTGTTTATGTGTGTGTGCTTGTTTTGTGTCTGTGTGTTGTGTGTGTGTGTGTCAGTGTCTGTATATATATATATATATATATATATGTCTTTCTCGTTGTCTCATTCTCTCTCTCTCTCTCTTTCTCTGTTCCCCCCGGCCCATCGGATCCTGATGTTGCTCTTTGCCTGGGAGGAGACCCAGACTACTGCAGACCCGTTTGGCATTTACGACAGCAGCACCGTCTTCGCCTCGGGCAAAGGAGGAGAATGAGGTAGGAATAGGTAGGAAGGAGGAGGAATATAGGAGGAGGAGGACGCGGAGAGGGAGAAAGAAGAACAACCACGACCACGGGAACCGATGCACCTACACAAGAAGAGAGAGGTCGAGCGAGAGAGAGAGAGAGAGAGCGAAAGTGCGCGCAATTCACGCGAATGTACACACACAGGAGCGTACCCGCCACATCTCTGCACACGGAGGGAGGAACCCAGCACCGTGTTTGCCAGAGTGAGCAGCGGCCCATCCGGCTCTTAGCGCAGTCCGCCGCAGAGGGCAGGCTGCGAGGGGGGGAGCCGCCGATGCACAGCGGGCCTCGCCTGCCTGCCTGCGACCCTGAGATTCCAACCGTGCGCGCATCCAAACGGGAGCTCTCGGCTCCCGGGGCGCTGCCACATGTTCTTGGCAGACGGATGCGCCCGTGGGTTGTGCAGTGTTATGCGGTTGGTCATATGGTGCTTGCTCGTTGCAGTGCGACTGCGGTGCAGCATCCGCATGGCAGCGCTCGCTCCATATAGGATGTTGTGTCTTCATTCCTGGTTGCATACTGCGTTCATCCCACAAGCTCAGCGTGGTGACTCCGTAAGCGAGTTTATGCCGCAGCGATGGTTCGTATTTCGCATACGTATTGTGTTTCTTATCGCGTGCTGGATGCAGTGGGTCTGGCATCGCGTTAGCGTTTTAGCAAGGCGCTCCGAACGTTTGGCTCGTAGGTGAGTGCTCTCGGTTCCATTCATGTTGTTGCGCACGCGGCGCACGCTGTGTTTTGCACCTTGCGCCTGGTGCGCGATGTGCTTTGTGCATGTTGAGTTTGTTGCAGTACTGCATGTATTTCATGCGCAGTGCGCGCACACATCCTGTTATGCCATCGTTCTCGCCCACCCCCTCGTGGGGCCAGCGTTCCGCTCGTGCCCTCGCCCGCGAACTTGGCCGCAGCGTTGGGGATGGCTGGCATGGTAAGTATGGAAGGGAGACAGGAGAAGAGCGGGGGGAGCAGGAGAGAAGGGGGGCAAACGAAGCGGGCCCACGCTCGCCCACGCCATACGTCGGGTCGAAGGCTACGTGGTGCAGGTCATGTGGTGCAAGCCATGCGGTGAGCGCTACAGGAACCCTTCTCGTTGGGGAGGGGCTCCGTGTTCCTTCATGGTTTCACAGTTTGCCCTAGGTCTTCTTCAGATTTTTGAGGGGGAACCAAAGTTTCACTTATGGAAAACAGGCGCCTCGTTCCTCATTTGGGGTTCCTGGGGTCAACGCCCCGATTGTATGTCGAGTAGGCCCAGAGCACGGGGGGTGCCTCTGCCCACGCCGGGCGGCACGGGCGGCAGCCTGGCGCAGCCTCGGCACGCCCCCCCCCCGAGCGTGGGGCGCCCGCGAGGCGCCGCGGGCGGCCACGCGTGGCGAACACGCCCCGCGCACGCGGGGCGCCCACGAGCCCGAAAGGGGGCGGCACGGGCGGCACTACGTGGCGAAAAACCCGACGTGCCGTCCTCTTGAAGAGGGAGGAGGAGGAGGAGGAGGAGGAGGAGGAGGAGGAGGAGGAGGAGGAGGAGGAGGAGGAGGAGGGGACGCATGGAAGAGGAAAATGTATGATCAAGACCCAGGAGCAAACGATCAGTGAAGATTTCGTGGTTTTGGCTCCCGCGAGCCGGCGCGGGCGGCAGCGCGGCGGGACCCCGAGAGATACCCAGGCGTGCCGCCCAGGCGCGGGCCGCCCCGAGGAGGCTCCCGCGAGAGGGGTCGCGGGCGGCAGCGCGGCGGGACCCCGAAAGATACCCAGCCCGCTTGCGCGGGGAAGCCGGGCACGAAGCCCCCGCGGTGCGAGCACCGCAGGAGGAAGCCACTGGGCTGCAGGAGGAGGAGAGGGAGGGAGGAGACAGTCTCTGGTGGAGGCGATGCGACGGGAGGGGGAGCCGGCGGAGGCGGGAACACTGTGAAACATGGCAATCCGTGGATTGTCGATGAGATAGTCGCCGTCACCCCAGACATACCCGTCGGTCGTTGGGAGGGCCCGAGCCCGACCGACGAAGTGCATGTGTGTGCGTGTGTGTGCGTGTGTGTGTGTGTGTGTGTGTGTTCAGGAGGGAAAGAAACACACAGAGACAATGAATCCCCGATTCCCCAGAACATATGGGAAAACATGGGAAGTGGGGGGGACGACAGAAGCCCAGAAAACATGGGATACTAATCTGGGGAATCCTTTTCTCTGTGTGTGTATACTATTTGTGTGCCCCAGGCCCCCGTCACGCGTGTGTGTGTGTGTGTGTCGTCGCCCCCTCCCCGCCCCAAAATTCGGGGCGGCGCGCGCTCCCGGGGGGCTTCTCTGGGGGTGGGCTCCGTGGCCGGCGCTGTCTGGCCATACCGTGCCGCTTTGACTGCATGCCCCGCGCGCGGGCCATGCAAAACAACGGTGAGGTCATGCATACACTAATTCATAATCCCAGCTCGGGCCGGTCGCACGTTTTCGGACGTCTGCGTCGGTTCCTGAAGGTTCTCCCGCTTCAGGATGCGTCCCAGCATCTGCGCCTCGCCGAAGGCATTCCGAAGGCGCCCGGATCGTCCCCGAACGGCCGCCAGGGACCCGAGCTGCGATTCGACATGCAGACGGTGAGTTCAAACATCCCACATGTTTAAGACATCCTGTGTATTCGAGCCTGCCCTCTACCGTCCCGGAGCGATGTGCGGCGAGCTTGTGACGTTATGGCTTCGGGCCGAGTGGTCAGGTCGAGGTCGGTTCGGGGAGGGTGCCCTCGTGTTCTTCGCGCCAGCTAGACGCTTTCTGTGCATCCTGGGGGGGGGGGGCTCGAGTGGTCTTCGGTTTGGGCGGCTGTATACTCGGGTTGGACGTGCGCCTCCAAGGAGAACACATCGCTTACTGTGTCTTTGTGTGTACCAAGGAAGCAGCAGTGGTGGGAGAGGCAGATGGTGGGTGTAGGACGGCTTTCCTTTGCAGACGACCCTCTCCCTCTGGTCGGACCTTCTTCGGCAGTGAAGGGGAGCCGCAGTGGTGGCTACAGCAGGCACCCCAGCAAAAGCACCTGCCAGACGGCGTGTGCGATCGGTCTTGTCCAACAGCGGAGCGCATTCGTGCTGGGCAGAGGCTGTGCCGTCGCGTGCGTGTGTGGTCACTTCTGCCGTCTCGCCCGCCAAGCCCGGCTGAGGGCACGCAGTTTGCCGACAGCACCCTGTACGACGGCGCGGTGGACGTGCGTTACGGGGCGCCCCCTTTCTCTCTCTCTCTCTCTCTCTCTCTGCGAAGCGGCCTGTTGCAGGGGACGTGAGCACTACAGCCGCAGTCTTGTGCGGCCTCGCGTCCGGGCCCGTCGGCTCCTCCTCCTCCTCCCACCGCCCGCGCTCTCCGGGGGCGCGCTGCCGAGGTGTAGACGAGCGGGCCAGATCGGCCGGGCTCCGCGTGCTCCTCCTCCTCCTCCTCCTCCTCCTCCTCCTCCTCCTCCTCTTCCTCCTCCTCACCCTGACGTTTCTGACGTTTCTCGCTACACAGCGTCTTGTCGCGCGCCCCGCGGGCGCGGAGCGCGCCGCAGCGGCCCACAAGGGCCGTGCGGGCACTCGAACAGCGGCCCCGGGAACCCGACCCCGAGGAGAGCAGGGAGGACCAGGGACCAGACTTAAACCTCAGAGGAGGGAGGAGGGGGCCGGGTTTCAGAAAAAAGAGGGACCCGTCAGGGCCCCTGGGCGGGCGCCGCGCGCGCCCGCGCCCGCGGGCGTCAGGCAGCGCGGCACGGCGCACGGCCAGGCCGACGGCCTCTTCGTGGGCCGGCGGCCGCACGGTGGCGGCTGGGCTCCCTTCGGCGCGGCGCGCTGAGCCCAGCCGCCGTGGGGGCTGCTTCGGGTGGCTGGCTGCCCCCCGCAGTGGCGACCTCCACCCTTCGGCGCAGCGCGCTGTGGAGGCTCGCCGAGCCGCTCGTGGGCTCCAGCAGGCCTGCACTGGCGGCTGCTCTCTCATCAACGTGCCGACTAGGGCCAGCTGGCCTCGGCCCCTCGCATGCCACGCGAGGGCGGCGGGGATACACCCTTCGGCGCCTCGCGCTGTGTATCCCACGCCGTGGGGCAAGCTGCCCCTTCTCTTCTGGTAGGCTCTGCTGTGCTCGAGCCTGCAATACTGCTTGACTCTGTAGTGCTCGAACTTGTATTCCTCGTCCCAGTCGTGCTGGTCGAGGTGGTACTCCTGCATATGCCATGTCCAGTCCTGCTCGTCATCGTAGTAACCAGCCGTGGTATTTCCAATGCCCTCAGTCATGTCGCCCCCGACGCTACAGTGCAGGTAGGCGCTGATGTAGAGGAGTGGTTGTGATGTGGCGGTCGTTTGTTTGTTGGTTGAGTGTGGGTTGTGGAGCGTGCTGGTTGGGTCGTTGGGGAGTCGGATCGTTGCTGGTGTTGTGTTGGTGGTCGTGGGCGTCCATGGCCTCCATGCACCGACTTCAAGTGGGGGTCTTGGCTGTCCCACCTCGTCCCGCTATGGCTAGGGGTCACAGTGCCCTCGGTGGGGGCGAACCCCAGGCCTGGTACTTATTATTGTCGGAGTGGAATGTCTCGGCTGTCCGGTGCTTCGCCCTCGGGCGCTCGGGTAGCTCCTCCTTCTCCATGGGAATGGTGGGGGTGGCGAGCTAGGGCGGACAGCGGGGGCGCAGGTAGTGGCCGTCCTACCCCCCCCCCTGCCCCTCACCATCCCCCCTGGTGGGCGCGGGAAGTACTCGTCCTTCCCCCCCGCCTTTCGAGCCCGTCTCGAAGTTTGATCCATGCCTCACCAGGGCAGCGCTGACTTGACAAAAGGTGTGCAGGGCCGTGCTGGGTATGATGTCAGTGTCGGACAGTAGTGCGGCGGCGTCGTGTGGATCGCCCGCTTCCAGCCAGCTGGTGTCCTCCGAGTTGTATGTAACCAGTCACCGCCAGGATACCCACAGCAAAACGTAGCGACCTGTGCCTGGGGTGTTCCCTCGCATTCGGGGCTTCCCCAGGACTTGCGTCCTAACCCAAGCAAAACTTGGCGACGCTGCCTGAGGTCTTCCCACGCATTCTGGGCTTCTTCAGGACTTAAGCCATGGCGCCGTAGTGCTTGTCGCCGCGGAAGCTCTTTGCCACGAATGTACTGCCGTATCCACAGTGACCGTGCCCATGCCTGTGGTGTTCGAAATAGTGCAGCATAGGGCCCGTAGTCATACTTGTCTCAGTAGCACCACCACATGATGTGCTTGACCCAAACGTACTGGTCGACATGATGGTGCTTGACTCCACGCTGCGTTGGACTGGGATGCTCGGCTCCCCCATGCTGCTCGCTGATACTGCTTGACCTGCTTGCAATGTAGTTGCGCGGGTCCGGGTACTCTCGACGGTTTTGCTGCCCGCCTGCTAAGAGATGTCCAGAGATGTCGAAACATATACGGTGGGGCCTGGGCGCTATGCTGCCCTTACCCAGGGCGCTAGATACTCATAGAAACCAGATGCCAGAGTTGAAAGAAAAGCCAATAAAAATCCAATAGAAATACTCGAGGGGGGGGCACGCTCCGTCGCCATTGAGGGATCGTGCCCACCCGCATGGGCGCTACGGGTCCCCCCCCCTCGAGAATGGCACGCAATCGCAGTCCATGACGAAGCCGTGCTGATGAGCAAATATCCTCTCAGGTCACTCCCAGTTTGAGCACATGCAGTAGGTGCGCTGACCCTCTCTCGCCTGCTGCCGCTCCGTAATATTACCAATCTGTACACCATTCTGTAGTACAAGCTGCAATCCAATCTGTGAGCTGCCAATAATCTGTGCACCAACTGCAAACTGATGGTCCGTCCCGTGGACTGGCAAAAATGAAATAATACAGACAACAATTTATCCCAAATATTTGTGCAGGCAGTCGTAGTACCGCGCGCTGCAGTGCCAACTGCTAGCGCCGGTGGGTACCCCATGTCCTGTGACAGTCGTGGCCCAACTGCTCTGGCTCGATGTAATAGTCCAGGGGGGCATAAAACCTGTGATAGCATTCATCCGTTTCGGCCCACAATGTCTCTTCGTCAGCGAGCTGCCCCCAGTGGGCTGCGAAGGCCGTTGCCATTGCCTTGCACAACTTTGAAGGATATTCTTTGAGGGGGGCGGTCCTCCAGCCGCCCTGGCCGTCTCGTCCGTAAGCTCTGTCGTGTCCGTTATGTCGGCACCGCTGTCCCCCTGGTACTGCCCCAAGTTCTTGTGTGAGTTCGCTGAGGTGCACCGCCATCAGACATGTTGGCTTTCGCGCGGCCTGCCCAAACTGGCACTGGTCGATGTAGTGTAGTTCGACGTTCGTCTGCTCCAGCAGCCAAAGCGTCTCCGCTCGCTGCCGGCTGCTCGGCGCTTGAGGACACCAAGTAGCTGGAGCAGGATGCTCGAGTACAGCGGATACATTGTACTGCAAGCCAGTGGTGATGAGTAGTAGAGCTGTCCTGTATAGCTCGTTGGCTAGTGCTAGCTGTTGCAGCTCCGCTTGATTGGCTGCTTGTATACCCCAGGGGAAGTCGCGTGTACGCAATGGGCGTGGAGCTTTTCCCTCGGCGGCATGCCAGCGCGATGAGCACCGCGTCTCGCAGGGGGGGCCAGCTACAATGCCGAAGATTCTGCCCTGGCGTATCGCCGCGCACCAAAACTCGACGACGTCTGGCTTCGTCAGGTCTCCTTTGTCGGGGTCTATCTGCACGTCGATTGATAATACTACCAAATTGCATTCCCGAGTGTTCATCTCGAAGTGGTGCTGGAAATCCTCCGCTCGGCGTCTGCCTGAAAAAAGGTGCAGCAAAAAACATAGCAGTAGTGACCATGGGCCTGCACGGTGTGAATGTCCTTGCTGGTGACGTCACTGCTGGAGGGGCCGCTGCTGTGGGCGGCGCAGGCGAGAGCTGGGGCTGATGCTGTTCGATGTGGTCGGCGAGCTTGATGTGTATGACCTGTTGCGCAGGCACCAACGCCTTAGTAGCTCCATGACCCATTGCCTTCCTCATCGCCACCGCCTCTCGTTCTTCTTCACGGCGTTCGGCTGCCTCCTGCAAATCCATTGGAACTTCAAATGTTTGGAGTACAGCCAGGCACCTGGGGCACCTTCTCAGGTGCTTGAGTGTGCGCGATCGCGTGATGAAGTCCTTCCCGCACCCAGGGCAGGTTGTCGAACGGGCGAGTAGTTCGGGGAGGTCATAGCCGATGTGCTCCATGGTGCGGTGGCGCTTCCATGCTCCCCGAGTTTTTAGGATCTTACCGCACTCATAGCATATGTAGCCACTATGTTGCGCAGGTGGCCGTCCGTCGAAGTTGGGCGTGGTCAGTCCAAAGTCTTGCGCTAGCCGGTGCAACTGCCTTTGCCATATCTGATGTCGATATATGTCGTGCTGCCATGACTTGTACCTGAGCCATGCACGCGCAATCATGGTTTGTGCGGCTTGCTCTTGCTGTGTTCGTAACCATCGTACCAGGCCCCTGATGTCGCAGCCAATGTCCTCGTCGTCTAGTAGGAATCTTCTTATCCAATCCAGATCCTCGACGATAAGTACATTCCAGGCTTCACTGTCCTCCCAGAGCTCGTCGATGAGGCGGTGGAGAAAGGGCGTGTCCGCATGCACCATTCTGACCAGGTACATCAGGCGCCGTCGGCGCAGGTACATGTGGATCGGTACATCGTCACATATCAAATATATTTCGTCGTCCAAGGTATGTGCGTGCCCCGCGCCGTGTCGCTGTTGCCGTGCGGCGGCTCGAAGGCTCGCCATGTGTCTGCTCTGCAGCATCTGCTTCTGTTGTACTGTCAGCGGCCCCCATACTTCGCAGTCGTAGGTCAGCTTGCTCTGCGCCAGGGCCGCGAGGTACAGCATCTTGGCTTTGAGGTCGATGTGCGGCAGACGGAAGATGGACTTCTTCAAGGGCCCCTCTGCAGATCTGTGGTCGATGATGCGTCTCATAAGGTTCGGCCCCTCACCGCCGTCACTTGCCACAATATTGCCCAATGTGGGTCCCTGAGACGTGACCTCAGCTGTGGTGGCATCAATGCTGGTCAGCAGCTGGCAATCCTCGCGATTCAATGTGATGGGGTTTGTCTTGAAGATCCTCGCCTTGATATGTTGTTTGGCGTGCCCGTCTATATGCAACAGAACTTTGGTCTTCTTGGGGTGTAGGTCGTGCCCGAAGATCTTGAGTCTCCTCGCGATGATGGACAATATATCAAAGATGCTGCTCTCGATTTTCGTGTTATCC